TAGTATTGCTCCTTTTCTTGGATAGATGTTGAAAATTTTGGCACTGAATAAATAAAAATAAGAAAACGAATCAGTAAACGTGCTTAAAGACAAGTTGAACGATTTCAAAAGGAGAGCAAAATAAAAGCATACCACTCGGTGCTAGTCACCCTAACATAATCAGCAACAGATATTTGTCCAGACACCTGAAACAAAAAATATAGACATAATCATCACCAAAAATTTTACCAAAAACAAACAGAGCTGCAATTAATGCAAAGAAAGGCAAAGTCTACTTCTTGAGTTTTACAAGCACTTGGAGAGCCGCAAGAGCCACCGGAGAAGAAGTTATTTTCTAGTTCACAGCTATCTAACTAACCAACTCGACAAGAAGAATAAACTTTCAGTGTTGAACTAAATGAGAACAATGGTCAACATACCACCATCGTGTCCCAAACCAAGTGCATTCTCTCCTCGAGACCTGCAGGAAAATTGCAGTGTGAAATCCTAAAAAAAAAAAAGGCCATCTATTTTTCAGATTGCACGATATAGTTCCGAAATATGCTAACCATTTACACCATTTGGAATTTTCCGAAAATCATCAATTCCCATTTCCTTTTGTGTTGAATTGAAAGTGCAGTGGTCCGTTCCTACTAGCTGCAACATTTATGAATGCCTAATCATTAGCTCTGATGTGTGGATCAGAACCTTGATATATTATAGGACAAAACCAGCTTTCATCAGAGCATAAGATATGTATATCGACTTTTATTCCCATCCAATTTGATATGTGAGCTTTATGACGATGAGAGCAAACCTGTAGAATCCCGGTTGAGAGAGCCGCTTGAAGAGCCTTACCATGTCCAGGTGCCCTAATAGGTGGACTCATGACAAACCTGGAACATTGATAATATTACATAATGACGTATATGTTACTCGAATTTGTTGAAGAGTAAACGATAAAGAATTATAAGGGGGAAGTTACGGATTTCCAAACACTAAGATGTTATTAAATCCATCTAAAGGGGTTTAGAATCTCTCTTTCTCCCTCTCTTTTTTTTTTTTTTGGTTCTGGAAATCGGAAAGAATAATATAAGTGTTTCTTGGAAGAGGAAAAGGTTCTTGCTTTGCTGCTATCTGAAAGTCGGGATCCCAGAGGACTGTATCATCCAAAATTAAACCTGAAACCACAGGCTCTCCAATAACCTTCTGACCTGCATTCAAGAGCAAGTGTAAATTTTCTCACATAAAAAATGGGACTTCAAGATGAAAATCCATTAGCATCTTTCAGTAGCCAAATTCATTTTTTAATCAAGCATACAACTGCATAAAAGTTAAAAATCTTCCATGAGAATTTACCATCAGAAGAATCAAACTTATTAAACATGACCGACAAAGCAACAAGCTTGTTATCTGGGGCAAGCTTTCACATAGTAATGATATTTTTTTTTTTTTTTTTAATTAAGGGATAAAAAATGGCACAGAGTGTAATACAAAATGTGAGAAGCCAATGCAGGTTAGGATATTTAACCAGCTAAAATTGGTAAGGCTGAACCTGATTTTCGAGCTTTAGCTATTTCTTCCATCGCATCAATGCTCATGACATGGACAACATACAGAGGAGTGTTCACGAAACCTGCCAAACGTATAGCTCGACCAGTGGCCTCACCCTCTAGCTGCATGATGTCTAACCAAAATTAGTGGATATTACTCAAAAAAGTAAGTAATAAGAAAAAAATCGAGTACATGATAACCAAGACTGACCAAAAGTCTAGTACTTTAATAAGTGCCTTAGTTTTATGCTATTGGTTCCTAACACGGCATCTAAGATCATCCAAAGTAAATAGAAAACTGAGGTTTTATTCTCACAATACTGGTATGTCGAAACAGTGAATCAGATCAATTCAAGGAGAAAGATTTTTTATTTCATCAATTCAGCTTTGGCAAATTCGACATAATGACAGATCACTGTGACCAGCTACTGCGTGGCCTAGAACCAGAAAATGCAGGCATATACAATGAACTTCCTCTAAAGAATATTTCTCTCACCAATCTGTAAAGGCTCCTTAATGATCGCAAAAACCGTTCACAGGGGGAATGAGAACCATATATCGGGAATACGAGAACAACAGGAATAACCGCAATATACACACCGAAAGGAAAATGATACCTAAGTTGGGGAAGGTAATACAAAATTCTGCAGAATCTATGAAACTTAATTCCAGGCATGTTTACAACTTAATAATAGGTTTGCCAAAGTAATGAAGAGACGTATTATGAGAAAAAAAACATCAAAAGCAAAAACTATTTGACGCTATCAAAATTTGATGTATCCCCATACTTAGAACCTAAAAATAAAAATGACTTTTACCACTGGTGGCCTTGAAAGAGCATGACCCTCAGGACCCACAATGCCAAGTTCAATCATTCTCTTTTGCCCTTCAAATACTGCATCTCCATTCTCTGCGTGAACCATGGCCAAAGCACCAAGAGATTTGCATTTCTTGAACCCCTCGATCAGAAGGTCGTCATTGATCATTAGCGAACCCTTATAGGCCAAGAAAAATTTGAAGGAATTAATCCCTATAGAATAACGACGAAAACAAGTTAGCGTTTATATAAACAAATGTAGTCAACCCAGTATACAGCAAGAAAAGAGAAAAAAAATGAGATAGACCTTTGTCCTTGACCATAACTTCCATTTCTCTTGAAACGGTTTCGTCCCATTTAGTTATTGCCATGTGGAAACCATAATCGGTGATCGATCTTTCTGCCTTTTTCACATAAGACTCCAGGCCTGCTGACAAACTCCCATTCACTGGAATAACAAAATCGATATGCATTGTGGTCCCACCAGCCAATGCAGCAGCCTGCCCGCTGAAAAAATCGTCAATAGTTTCGGTGCCCATGAACTCC